CGACCACTGCCGCTCGACCATATATATATATATATATATATATATACATATATATATATATATATATTTCTTCTTCTTCTTCTTCTTCTTCTTCCCTTTGTCTTCGTTGTCTATATTGGGACGTCGGCAGGTTCGTTCATTCTCTCCTCCTCCCAGTCCCCCTTCCTCTCGACATTGTGTTGATGCTAATCCGCGGGGTTATTTGTCTTACCGACAACTTTCTCTGCCACGTCGACGGCGTTCGTCATTCATGCGCCGACCCCGCCAGATCAGACCTATCTTTCCAGTGGTGACCGAATCGGATCTGCGGGCAGATCTACCAAATGCTTATGGTTTGACAGCCACAAATGTCTGCCTACAGGCTCATCAACATCAATGTTATACTACTTCCCATTTTGTTACGATTACTTATCAGCTTGACGGTGTTGAAAATCAGTTGTTGTATTACCATAATGGTCCACCTCCTGAAGGTAGTAATTATACTACCTCAGGAGGCTTTACTGTAAATGTCTTACAACTAGCATTCCACGGTCGCCACCTTCTTATGCATCATGCGACGCCAGGCGATGACCTTAATGACCATCCTCATATTACTGCCTGTATTTTGCACAGACCCGAGCATTATATGGCACGCATTCGTGCAGCTGCCCAATGGGAACTGTGGGATGGTGGGACAATGACTCAGGCTATTTTCAACATAAATGATTTTTTGTGTGCATTACCGAATTATACTTTATTCAGGATTACTGATCGACTCTCGTGTGACACCTGTCGGGACAGGGACACGGTGCGACTTGGCTGCGGAATTCATCACCTATGCCATCAACATTATCAAGCTATTGCGGTCGCTGCCGTTTGTGCCGAAGGGTGTTGCCCAACATTTCCTCATTGTACACGTCCCTATCACCCAGAAATTCGTTGTCCCTTTTGTGCTGAAGTACGCTATCTGGACTGCATGATGCCGCACTATGATGAATGCCCTGCTCTTTTTGACATGTGGACAGCATGTCCTTTGTCAGGACTGTTCTGATGAGATGGTCCGTGCTAGCCATGCTGCTGAATGCTATGCTGAAGTAGCTCTCCTTGGGTATCCTTCTGAACATCCACGTCATCCTCAGCGTGCTTGTCCTATCTGCCGGGGTGGGGGCTCCTCTTCCTAACTGGTCAATAGAATCAAGCGATCAGGAGCACCACCAATTGTAGGATAGATAAAAGAAAGAAAGAAAAAAAGTACAAATTCTTTGGGGGGGGAAAAAAAACATGAAAAAAGTCGAGTACAAACGCAGCCGGGTGGGCCGCCCGGGCAAACCGGGCGGGCAAAAAACAGCCCAGAATTTTTTTTATTTTTTTTTTTGAAAGCGGGGTCCTTCTGTGCTCGGCGAGAGGACCCCGAATCTGCAATAAAAATTCTGGTTTTGGGGGGGTACGGGTTGTCTGGGGGTGAGGGGGGCGGGGGGGTTCTCGGTGTTGGGGACTCTGCATGTATGTTGCCTGCTGTTTGTTGCATGTATGATACCAAGTACATACCGGGAAGAGGAAGGAGAGGAAGATGAGGGGGAGGGGGAGGCGGAGGAGGAGAGAAGAAGAAGAAGAAGAAGAAGAAGAAGAAGAAGAAGAAGAAGATGGCGGCAACGGCGGGGCGGTAGGGTATGGTGGCGGCAGGGCGGTAGGGTATGGCGGCGGCGGCGACAGGGAGGGAGGTGTGGCGGTCCAAGAAGAAGAAGAAGACGATGGGTGGAAGAGGAGGAGGAGGAGAGAAGATGAAGGAGAAGAAGATGAGGGGGAGGCGGAGGAGGAGAGAAGAAGAAGAAGAAGAAGAACAAGAAGATGGCGGCGGCGGCAAGGAGGTAGGGTATGGTGGCGGGGTATGACGGCGGGCTGTGGCGGCGGTCGTACAAGAAGAAGAAGAAGAAGAAGATCGGCGGAAGAGGAGGAGGAGGAGAGAAGATGAAGGAGAAGAAGATGAGGGGGAGACGGAGGAGGAGAGAAGAAGAAGAAGAAGAAGAAGATGGGGGCGGAGGCAGGGCGGTAGGGTATGGTGGCGGGGTATGGCGGCGGTCTGTGGCGGTGGTCGTACAAGAAGAAGAAGAAGAAGAAGAAGAAGAAGAAGAAGAAGAAGAAGAAGAAGAAGAAGATGGGCAGAAGAGGAGGACGAGGAAGGAGAAGAAGATGAGGGGGAGGCGGAGGACGAGAGAAAAAGAAGAAGAAGAAGAAGATGGCGGCAGCGGCAGGGCAGTAGGGTATGGTGGCGGGGTATGGCGACGGGCTGCAACGGCGGTCCTACAAGAAGAAGAAGAAGAAGAAGAAGAAGAAGAAGAAGAAGAAGAAGAAGAAGATAAGCGGAAGAGGAGGAGAAGGAGAGAAGAGGAAGGAGAAGAAGATGAGGGGGAGGCGGAGGAGGAGAGAAGAAGAAGAAGAAGATGAAGAGCGGAGCAGGGTTTTTTTTTTCCCTTACCTGTCGTTTATCTCGCGACCTATCGCTGACGAATGGAACAAAAAAAAAAGAAGAAAAAGAAGATAGTCGGAAGAGGAGGAGGAGAGAAGAAGAAGAGGAAGAAGAAGAAGAAGATGAGAGGGGGACGAGCGATAGGCGACTCCACGACGCTGGCGACGGGCGACGGGCGACTCAACGACGCTGGCGACGGGCAACGGACGACTCCACGACGGTGGGCAAGTGCAGCTCCCAAGCGATGGCGACAACGGGCGCGAGGAGCGAGGGCGGCTCAACGACGAACGCAGGCGGCTGGAGAAGGGGCCCCATTTGGACAGCCGATGCAGGCCGCCCCAGCCAGTCGATTGTACAAACGGGGGCTTGGTTTTCCCTCCAAAAAACAAACGGCCCTCTGGCCGTCGATCACGGATGATAGACGGCTGGAGGGCCGTCAAAACTTCAAAAAAAAAAACAGGCCTCACGGGCCCGACGCGCCGTTTTCTGGGCGTGGTCGGACCCGGTAGGCCCTGGGGAGGCCAAATCTTGGCGATTCGGGGTCGGAAACCCCCCACCAACAAGGTGTGTTGGGGGTGCCCGGCCCCCAACCGGGCCGCCCGGGACCTCCCCCGGGCAGGCGCTGGTCGGTCGGGCGGCCCGGATCCGTACTCAGGAAAAAAGAAAAAAAGAATAAATATATATATTGTCACAGAACTATTGACTAAGAGCATGAGCACGTGAAGTAGAAGAAGAAATAAAATGAGCAAAGAAAAGAAAAATGAAAGGACAGACAGGCAAAGAGACAGACAAACCAGAATGACAATTTGTTTCACAGTATTATTATTTCTTTCAGTGTTTTACAAAAAATATTTACACTGAATCAAAGGATAAAAATCAAAAACAAAGACAACTTGAAATCATTCAGTTTCTCAGTCTTCTTAACGCCTCATCCACTGTGCCTCTAATGTACAAGGCTCGCCACGTTGATGAAGTTGAGYGCGAGCTGCCCCCATCCCCGTATGCCATAACAGCCCACTTGCACGCTATGGGAAAGAGGSAGAGTGAAGGAAGAGGTGTCAAACACAAGGGAGAGAGGAGCAGAAAAGAAAAATCGATAAGCAGAGAGAGAAAAAGTAAAAATAAAATAAGGGGGACACAAACATCTTGTTTCTTTTACTGCATTCTTCTTTCTTTCACAGTTTTGCAGTTTTGGTGAAGAGTCTACCACGTTCATTTTTCAGCGCGCGTGCACTTCCTTCTTCATTTTTTATTCTCATTTTCACCCTTCGGACGTTTTCTTTGAGGGTGTTAGGGTGCAGGGTACAAACAAAGTAAAACGACACAAACTTATGTTCTTCTTTTACTGCAGTCTTCACTGTTTTGCAGTTTTAGGAAAGGGTTCCCCACCTTTGCACATTCTTGTACACTCTTTTCAGCGCACCTGCACATTTTCGTCAGGGTGCAAGGTACATCTAAGTAAGACCCTCACGACAGATAGGACAACTATCATAAGGATGCGGGCGATGGTAGCAGCCCTCCCGCTCATCTATAGGACGAAAACCATTCAGGTAAGCAACTTCGTTACAGCAGGAACCAGGACGGCTAGCATCGACCATACCTCTGAAGCATGCACGGCAGAGGGCATGCCGGTTGCAGGCCATGACCATTGTGGGGTGTTCACCATCACAGTTAAGTGCACATTCGCTATAGCGCCCGTAGGCACAGACGCGACATATTGCATCTGGATGCAGAGGATGTTCACAATCCGGATACAGGTGGCATCCCTGCTGACAGCGGGCCCGAAAAATTATATGGTTGTAGTGATGTCGACAAAGTCGATGCTTTCCACAACCAAGTGTAACTGTGTCAGTGATCTCACCAAGAAGGAGGTCACAAGGTGTTAGTGCAGCATGCGGGGGAATGAAGACTAAAGCAGGCACGGAAACAGACATGGAGGTAGGCACGGAGACAGACACAGAAACGGGCATGGAGACGGACACAGAAATGGGCATGGAGACAGGTGCGGAGGCAGGCACAGAGACAGGTGCAGAGGCGGGGACAGAAGTACAAGAGGTACCTATAGGGTCAGTAATCTGGAAGGAGACAGACATAGAAACAGGCACAGAGACAGGTACAGAGTAGAGGCGGGCATGGAAGTACACGAGGTACCCCTAGGGTCAATGATGGCGCAGCCAAGGGGCACACTGCATATCAAGCCGGCGCCTTATCAAAGCAGTCTCCAAAACAGAGACATTGAATCCCCCATGTCGAGTGTAATTACTATCCTGTGGGGGATGCAGAGTNATATCAAGCCGGCGCCTTATCAAAGCAGTCTCCAAAACAGAGACATTGAATCCCCCATGTCGAGTGTAATTACTATCCTGTGGGGGATGCAGAGTTGGGTTATCGCCATTTAACTCACGTTCCTGAGCATCAAGATCGGAAGCAATCGCCACGAAATCAGAGTGAGTATATGGTTCCCGACGATAAGCTTGTAGGCAGATGTTAGTAGCAGCGAGGCCACACACATTCGGTGGAGGCCGGTCAGGCGGATTTTCTACAAGATCTCCTACAGTCCCCTTGCCAAGTTCATCCTCAGATGGTCCCTCGCCACCATCCCTCCCGTTTTGTGTTTGCCGCGTTGCAGAAAGGTCTGAAGTCGAAGAGCGTTGCAGGCGTGGTAAGGATGCTTGGGGCGGCAAAAGACGGGGACGGGATGTTGGGGAGGGTCGTGGTGGGGAGAATGAACAAGTTCTTCTTCGTCCAAGAACAGAGATGGAGGAAAGGGGAGTAAGCTGAGGTTGGGAAGTACGTCGAAGTCGGCGTCTAGGACGGCGAAGTAGGCTTTCTGCAGGGGCAGAACATGATGACGGAGTCTGTGTGGACGAAGTGGTTTGTGAATTAGGAAGAGGGGTAACGGATGGAGACAAAACTAGGGGAGGTAGGAGTGGTGAAGACAGGGGTGGTAGAGTAGTCGGAAGGTGGGTAACATACGGCGATAAAACCAGGGGAAATAAAGGCGGTGAAGACGGGGGGGTTGAAGTCAGGGGTGGCGAAGTGGCTGAAGCAGAGACAGGGGGGGGAGTTGTAGGTGAGACCCAAAGAGGGGACTTTGCAGGTGGTGATGCAGGCATGGCCACAGATGCCATGGAGGAACGCGCCGAGACCAAGGGCGACACAACAGATGCGGTGGTCACGGATGCCATGGAGGAACACACGGATACCAAGGGCGACACAACGGCTGCAGTGGCCACGGATGCCATGGAGGAACACACCGAGACCAAAGGCGATACAGCAGTTGAGGGTCGAGTTGCTCCTGCGGAATCAATCGTAGAAGCAACAAAGGCCGATGAGGAAGAGGCTGCAACCCGACAAGGGTCAGCCAGGGTCACAAACATCATGGAAGGGGTTACTAAGGCTGATGAGGACGCAGGTGCAGCAGACGCAGGTGTTGAAGAAGAGGTTGTGATAGGTGTGACAGGCGCCGATAATGAAGAAAGGGCTGTGACAGGCGTAGTCCGAGGACAGTGTGTAGATACCTGAGAAAGCGGGTGATGAATAGACCATCGAAGCATGTTGCGGAACCAGCTGGAGAGGCGGGTCACATGCGCAGGGTACCTGTGTTGACGTTTACGAATATAGGAAGTCCATCCTTTGGCAAACGTTGTTGGAGAGTGCCCGCGAAAAAGCATGCAGCGTGTGAGCATCGCTGCTGCAGTTTTGAAATCATACCAGTTGTTGCAGATATACTCAAACTTGGTAAGTTGGCCTGTAAACACTCCCGCCGGCTAGTGTGCAGGGACGTTCGATGTAGCACTAGGATAACGAATTACAGGGAAATTCCATTCAGCTCCTTTGTCAAAGACACTCATACGCAGGGAGCCGTCAGGGCGGACTTGGAGGCGTGCACCCAAGAATGTGCAAGAGCCATTAGGCGCTGTGGTCTCCTTCCATTCGAGGCCATAGTGCTCTGACGGTGGTGGCAAATGTCCCCATTAGAACATCATCGATCAAGCGGTATGTGAACGCATAACCTCCAATCAGCTATCTCCGAACCAGAATTAGTCCCCATTGGGATGCCAATCAACTGATGTCGCAAGGTGCCGTCCGCTGCATAAAGATAAGTTTTTGGGACAATGAAATGGAGATGTTCAAGAATTTGGGAAACGGTCAAGGTGTTTGGTCCGATATCAACCGTCCACTCCCCTTGACGGGGCCCTCTAACAATCATGTTAAGGGTAGGAGGATGTGTGCGCCCCTGTGTGTGCTTTTGTAAGGTATATGTATAGGCTTCCTCGACCGCTTTTGAAGCATTATGACAAATACGGTCATGAGGAAGATTGGTATACATAGTTGTGAAAACAACAGTACGAGGAGCATGGTCACAAAGAGAAGAGGAGTTACCTTTGAGATCAAGCATCACCTCCTTAGCGCTTTGCACGATCCAGCACCGTCTAACACCGCTTGGCTGATACAAAACATTATCCTTCTCACGAAGAGTTTCAACGACTCCTTGTAGTGCAACGCTGAGGCGGGCAGAAGTGACGGTAGTACTGGCCAAGGGTTTGTGGGGAGGTCGATSGYGGACTGCATGAACAGATGGCGCAGTTGATCGAGATCGTTGCAGCAAGGAGAGATTATTCCGCTCTGTGACGCCGACAATACTGCGAAGCCCAGGGGGCGATTTGTGCGCTTTAAGTGCATAGTACAGATATGGGAGCGTGTCTTTGTGTGTATATCCCCACCGATGATTCCAGAGCGCGTGATGTTCCAGAATATCAGCGACAGACTCAAGAGGCACATCATAGGTAGGGCTGTCCAAATGAGCAGATAGATGAGACAACTACCAATTTTTACAACAGATTGCTAAGTCTTGTCGACAGGAACAATAGCAAAGTGTTGTTGAAGGTGTCTCAAAGCCCTGTGCAGTGAATGAAGAGAGTGCGGTTGTCGTGTAGTAATATGGGGGGATGAGATGTTGCTTTGGCAACGTGTGAGAACAGCTGAGCGCCACTGCTGCAATTTGCTCAGAGCGGCCGGCCGAAGCTGCTCGGAGACCGACCTCAGGTATTTAGCAATATACTCGTCAAGGGCGACTCTAACAGCCTGAAGCACATCATCGATTTGTCCATTAAGRCGATACTTCGAGCCTTCATGGAACAAGTCGTTGAGGCGATCATCAGGAATGACATCGCAGTCGGCTGTAACAACATGGCCGTCGACTAAGTGTGAGCAGTCAGGAAACACTTYCCGACATTGACAGTCTGAGGGGTCAGGCAGGGAGATCCTAGGTGTGACGCTGAGCGCAACTTTCGTGAAATTAGAGAATTGGACGCGAGTTGGCGTCAACAGCTTATCACAGATACGCAGGTGTGCTGCGGCATCAGGGGCAGGGTGCAAGTGGAGCACCTGGGGTGCATGCAGGGCTTGTCGCAGCCTCGTTACCTGAGACACCTCGTGCATGTGCACAACTTTAATATGATCAAGGAAGGCATCTCGAGACTGAGTTGTGTATCGCTGGCGGACATGTTGATACTTCCGAATCAGGCATTCAAGCTGATGGATATGCGCACTCATATATGCATTGGAGATATTATTGTTCAACCACTGCGGCAAGAGGGCACGCCAAAATGACGTTGCTTGCTGGATGACAGATTTCATCTGTTGCGAATTGCCAGCAGCAGCCTGTGAGAGAAGRTTGTGCAATGCAGACCGRACTTGAAAGTCGGGGCCTGGACGCAAATCAATAGGYTGGGGYTGTTGATGGTCTRACGRACGAGGGYCTGTCTGTGTCCACCGATGAGGACGACGTTGTCKTCTTCTTGCAGGCAGGCGAGCAAGTGGTAGGACAGCGTTGAGACCAGCTGGATGAAGAGTCCGCAACCGGCGTACCCAATAGGCTTCCCGTGTCGTAGCAGCCCGTCGAAAGAGGTTACAGTCAACAAGACCTTGCGGTGTATGGTAAAGGGCCAGGTCAATACGTTCCAAGGGCCAGACTTCAAAATTGAAGGGGTTTTGACAAGACATGACACTGTAGAGTCAGCGACGCCGAAACTCCGCAGTAGAACGACGAACATGCCAATGTTCCTGCAAACGTTGATGCGAGGAGTGCATATTCTGACCTATGAAAAGACGCCCAGAGGGGATATGAACAATGGCATAGATCACTCCCCGGACAAAGAGAGGGTCCATACCTGATTGCAGTGTCTGCTCATCAATGCCTCTCAGTTGCAATTCGAAACGCTCTGTTTGAAACGCCGTGTTAAGTTGTTGCAACTGCCTCTTGCGCCAAGTGTCTGCAGAGTAGAGGTCACTATTCCAGCGAAGTTGCCGAATCCAATCAACACGAAATGTGGAATCAACGTGTAGATGAGGTTGGGAGGAAAAAGCAGAGAAGAGTCGATGATTATTATGAGAAACTATACCTGAAGTAGTGTCGACAGGAAACCTTCCAATAATTCCCTGATCCTCCGTGTCTAATGCAGTGTCGACAGGAAATCTACCAAGGATTCCCTGGCCTATGTTGCCTGGAACTACGCCTACCATGCCAGTAGTAGGAAACTTCCCGAGAATCCCCTGATTAATCCTTTGTGTTGAATTCATTTGTTTAAAAAGTCACGTTTATTTTTTTCAAAATTTTTTATTTTTTGGTAAGAGAAGAGACGAAGAGGTGCACAGAAAGGCATGGTTTTAGGCCCGGCGGCCAGTTCGGGAACTGATCCTGCCGCCATCCTATTCGTATGGTATTCACCATTAGCAGTGAGCCAACAGAATGTTGGTTCATGTATGACTCTACATCCCCCGGTGAGTGTGCCGTGACCCAGTGTGATCCAATCTGATCCTAGTGCTCACAGCCTTGCACCGATAGACCAACAGTGTCAATTCAGTGAAAGCAAGCCAACCTGTAGGCTTTATTAATGTGTGAGGATTACACGAAAGAGTGAGACACGAAGAGGTGAGATGGGCATGGGCGCTGCCACCCGGGTTTGGCAACCTTAAGTGGGCCGTAACTATACCCACTACACGGGAAAAGGGTTACAACCTGTGTCCTTGCAGTGACCGCCACCACAGTCCTTATGTGCACAATACCTTAAAAAATATCAAAACCGTAGCACCAAGCAACGTACCAGATCAAACACCTAACACGGCGAGTATTGTTCGAGCATAAAGAAAATAAATAACAAAGTAGTAGGTTATCAGAGAGCCCGCGGAATGAAATACAGCCCCTGAAAGGATTCAGGAAGCAATGAGAGAACAGGGGGCAGAATGCAGAACGCAGATTGATAATATGCAATCTATACATCAATGAAAGACATCAATTGAAGATTCAATTGAAGAATCGCCTGGTTGTACAGGCCCGACGCTCGTCGTTCGATCTGCAAACGCAGAGAGCTAGCAATGCCGGCATATATATTGTCACAGAACTATTGACTAAGAGCATGAGCACGTGAAGTAGAAGAAGAAATAAAATGAGCAAAGAAAAGAAAAATGAAAGGACAGACAGGCAAAGAGACAGACAAACCAAAATGACACTTTGTCTCACAGTATTATTATTTCTTTCAGTGTTTTGCAAAAAATATTTACACTCAATCAAAGGATAAAAATCAAAAACAAAGACACATTGAAATCATTCAGTTTCTCAGTCTTCTTAACGCCTCCTCCATTGTGCCTCTAACGTACAAGGCTCGCCACGTTGATGAAGTTGTCCGAGCTTCCCCCATCCCTGTATGCCATAACAGCCCACTTGCACGCTATGGGAAAGAGGCAGAGTGAAGGAAGAGGTGTCAAACACAAGGGAGAGAGGAGCAGAAAAGGAGAATCGATAGGCAGAGGGAGAAAAAATAAAAATAAAATAAGGGTGACACAAACATCTTCTTTCTTTTACTGCATTCTTCTTTCTTTTCACAGTTTTGCAGTTTTGGTGAAGAGTGTACCACGTTCATTTTTCAGCGCACCTGCACTTCCTTCTTCATTTTTTATTCTTATTTTCACCCTTTGAACTTTTTCTTTGAGGGTGTTAGGGTGCAGGGTACAAACAAAGTAGAACGACACAAACATATGTTCTTTTTTTACTGCAGTCTTCACTGTTTTGCAGTTTTAGTGAAGGGTTTCCCACCTTTGCACATTCTTGTACACTCTTTTCAGCGCACGTGCACATTCTTGTACACTCTTTTCAGCGCACGTGCACATTTTTGTCAGGGTGCAAGGTACGTCTAAATAAGACCCTCACGACAGATAGGACAACTATCATAAGGATGCGCGCGATGGTAGCAGCCCTCCCGCTGATCTATAGGACGAAAACCATTCAGGTAAGCAACTTCGTCACATCAAAAAACCAGGACAGCTAGCATCAACCATACCTCTGAAGCATGCATGGCAGAGGGCATGCCAGTTGCTGGCCATGACCATTCTGGGGCGTTCACCATCACAGTTAAGTGCACATTCGCTATAGSGCCCGTAGGCACAGATGGGACATACTGCATCTGGATGCAGAGGATGTTCACAATCCRGATACAGGTGGCATCCCTGCCGACAGCGGGCCCGAAAAATTATATGGTTGTAGTGATGTCGACAAAGTCGATGCTTTCCACAACCAAGTGTAACTGTGTCAGTGATCTCACAAAGAACGAGGTCACAAGGTGTTAGTGCAGCATGCGGGGGAATGAAGACTAAAGCAGGCACGGTGACAGACATGGAGGCAGGCACGGAGACAGACACAGAAACGGGCATGGAGACAGACACAGAAACGGGCATGGAGACAGGTGCGGAGGCAGGCACAGAGACAGGTGCAGAGGCGGGGACGGAAGTACAAGAGGTACCTATAGGGTCAGTAATCTGGAAGGAGACAGACATAGAAACAGGCACAGAGACAGGTACGGAGGCAGGCACAGAGATAGGCATAGAGGCGAGCATGGAAGTACACGAGGTACCCATAGGGTCAATGACCTGGAGCAGTTGCAGGTTAGGGTAATTACGCACGAGATCACAGATGGCAGTACTAGTTTGCACCATAGCACCGCCATTTCATAATTCCCAAGAACCAGAGGCACGGACAAGAGCGGTGTAGTGGCCAGGAGTATGTAGAATATAGGCACAAACGTGCGAACAGTGGTCCGGGTCGCCACCCGAAGGGGCACGCTGCATATCAAGCCGGCGCCTTATCAAAGAAGTCTCCAAAACAGAGACATCGAATCCCCCATGTCGAGTGTAATTACTATCCTGTGGGGGATGCAGAGTCGGGTTATCGCCATATAACTCACGTTCCTGAGCATCAAGATCAGAAA